AACCCTAAACCCTAAACCTAAAGCTGGAAGGAGGAGGAGGATGACGAGGCTAAGCAAGCCGAAGCTCTCCGAGTTGCACAGGTGGCTTCTTCAGGGTTCAGGTCGTGTTCCGGGCTTGTGTGTGTGTGTCTGTTGGGTTTAGGGTTTAGGGTTTAGGGTTTAGGGTTTAGGGTGTGTGTGTGTGTCTGTTGGGTTTAGGGTTTAGGGTTCAGGGCTTGTGTGTGTGTTGGCTTTCGATGTATCTTTGCTTTGGGGGTTGCAGAGTTTCGGAATTGTTGGTCTGGCTGTTGTTCATGGTTTGTTGTGTATGGCTGCTACAGCTTTGCAGAGTATAATAATCGCGTCAACATAGATCTTTTTGCACAGGGCTATAGGGGGTTGTAAGGGGTAGTGGTAATTGGGTATGCACGGCTTGGAGTGTAGCTGCTGCTAGATGTCGGAAGTTGAGGGTGTAGATTTCGAAGTTTCATATATTGAATCCTGCAGTATATTTGTTATAGTTATTGTTATCATGATCATTATTCTTCCTATTCGTAGTCGTAGTAGTAATCGGTGGGTAGTGGTAGTCGTGTTGAGGTTGCTAACTCAGTAGTTTTTACGTGTCTGGCGGTTTCGGGTTGAGGAGTCAGGGTTTAGGGTTTAGGGTTTAGGGTTTAGGGTTTTGGGTTTAGGGAGGGTGGGCTTAGCTTTCCGTTTCAACATGGGCACCGGAGTTAGGTCGGAGGTCGCTGGCGTCGACGCTGGCTCGAGCAGATAATTTTTACTATGGGGTATACGGGAACACCCTAGACCCTAAAACCTAAAGTAGTGATGCCCTAAATCCCTAGACCCTAAACCCTAAACTACTGATCCCCTAAATCCCAAAACCCTAAACCCTAACCTTCAAAGCCAAGACCCAGAGCCTCCGACCCGAAATTCTTCGTGGATCGACTTCATAATCGCAGCGTCTGACCATATGGGAGTTTCCGAAAATTAGGGTACCCTATTTTGGGGTTCTTATAATAAGGATCCTACTATTTAGGGTACTATATTAGGGTCCCTATGTTCTGAAACCCCCATATTCCTGTAGCTGCAGCAGCGGAAAGTCTGTGCAAGCAAGGGCGTGAACCCTCCTTGAAACTCTGAACCCTCAACCCTAACCACCCTAAACCCTAAACCCTAAACCCGACACCCGGAACCTCGCACCCTCAACGCCTTGAGCCCTAAACCCTGAACCCGAAACCCTAGACCTTGAACCCTGGACCCTGAGCCTGAACCGCGAAATCCTTCCCCCGAACTGCAAGCCCAAAGTGCACCGGAAGCCTTTCAGCAACAACCATATAGGTAGTTCTCTAAATTGAGGTCACTTTTAGGGTCCTTTTTATAAGGGTGCCGTACTAAGTTGGGGACCTGAAAGGGGACCCTAATCTAGACAACTACCCATATGGCCAGGGCATCACCCACGAAGACGAGGAGGGGGCAGAGCCGATGGAGGCGCCCCTGTTGGTTAGGGCTTCCAGCGTTTAGGGCTCAGAGCTTCTGTGGGGTCGTGGTGAGAAGGGAAGCCCTTGTGGTCTCATGCTATAAGAGTGACCAGAAAAGTGGTTTAGGGTTTCGGGTTTAGAGTTTAGGTTTTAGGGTTTACGGTTTAGGGGACATAGAAGCAGAAGCAGCAGCAGTCGCAGTTTCGACACTGTACAGTCGTCCTTGTTGTCGCCATGGCCGTTTCCGTCATCGTCCTCGTCCTCGTCGTCATTGTCTTCGTCATCGCAGTAGCAAGAGCGAAGGCTGCGTGCATGATCCTGTGGCATTATTCTACCCCTAAGCCTATCTTAGTACCCTAAACCCTAAAAAAAAAGTCCCTACCTATGCTACCATGGTGTTCTTTTCACCATGGCCAGGCCGATGAGGCACCGCCGAAAACGGAGGAGGAGACCGGTCTGCAGGAATCAAGAGCCAGTTTCAGTTTGAGGTGGGACTCAGGCGCTTTGAGTCACAGGGCCCAGGCCCAAACCCTAAATCGCTAAAACCCTAAAACCAGAAACCCTAAACCCGGGTTAAAGCAGTCAGGCAAATAGAGACACAGGGACCTGGAAAGATGGTGGTTACGTAGCCTCTTCGAACCACTTGTAAGGTTGACTGCTTAGGGATTTCTACGATTCAGGTTTGCGGTTCTAGGATTTTGGATTTCCGTACTCTGACCCCCTCATTTTTTTGCCGCTTGCACGCCCGGTAGGTGTGTGAAACCAACCCTAAACCTCGTACCCTCAGCCCTAAAATCTCAAGACTCAAGATGCAAATCGTTCAGTTCTGTCTCAATTTGGAGCTTCCCTGTTTTGGTTCTTCAGAGTGTTGGGTTTAAGAGCTAAGGGCTGAAAAGTAAAATCAAACATCTAAATCTTCAGCCCTAGACCTCAAAACCCTACACCCTGAACGTTGATCAACTGGTTCCCTTCGACCCCCCCCTAAAACCGTAAACCCTAAGCCCTAAACCCTAATCCGCAAACCCTAAACCCTAAGCCCTTTCCCGTACTGAAACACGGACCAAAGAGTCGAGAAGTCTTTTTTGGAAGCCTAAAGACTTACCAATAGTACTTTGGGGGGGGCCCTTATTATGACTGTAGTAGAATATACCCCCCAAAAACCCCATTCTAATTATTGAGGCCCCTACATTCAATCCGAAAGCCCTCTAAACCCCGATCTCCTACAGCTCCAGTCCAGGAAGACGCTGGTGACGATGACGCCGTTAACATCACGGAGAGGCCGGCAAAAGGACCTGCTTTTTCTGGGCTGTGGAGATCCGAGGTTGAGGGCTTGAGGGTTTTGGGGTTTAGGGCTTAAGTTAGGGTTTAAGGTTCAGGGTTTAGGGTTTAGGGTTTAGGGTTTCGGGTTTAGGGTTTAGGGTTTAGGGTTTAAATCAAGGTGTACGGCTGAGGATTCGGTCTAGCGCTTATAGGCTCTCAATTTCTAGGGACTTTTGTAGTAGGGATCCAGCGTCAGATCCAATGTGCTATGGGCCTGTAGAATTCGCTTGTTGCAGGGTTTCAGGTTCTGGTTTGAGGGATTGGACTTAAGGTTCAGGAGTCCTGATTTAGGTGGAATGGCTTGCAAAGGGATGTTATGGAATTTTATTCTATTGGCTTCTGATGTTTGTTGAATGCAGGCCAGAGGGGTTTACGGTTGTTGTTGGTGCAGAACACGCAGAGGGCTGCTCCATTTTGACGGATCCGCCAAGAAAAGTACCCTAAACCCTAAACCCTAAAACTAGCCTGACGCTCCGAAGTCCAAAGCCCTGGAAGCCGTTTGCCATCACGTCAAAGTGATGCCAGGTTTTTCGAGGAGGCGAAGTTCGGATGCTTCTGGATCGTTTTCCAGGCCCGGGGCGTTGTCCGGTTTCAGAGAGCTCTCTAGGGTCTTATGAAGTGCACATTTTTTTTGTGTTTGTTTTGGGGGGGTTGGGCGTCTTTGGACAAGCCTGCCAGCGAGTCTTCGGGTGCCTTCAGGGAGGTACACTTTGCAGGGATTCAACAAGGGAGCGGGATGGCTAGGGGCGTTCCCTAAACCCAAAGCCCTGAAACTTAAACCCCGAAACCCTAAACCCTAAACCCTATAGCCTAAACGCAAAACCCAACACCCCACACCCTAAACTCTAAACCCACAGCCGTGTCCGTTTCAGGCGTCCCGCCATGAAGAATCCATAGACTGAGTAAGCTCCGTTCTTCGACGGGCCAACTATAGTGGAGGGGATAGTCGGTAATAGTGTCGCCTTATAGTCCTTGATTGTGAGTTAGTAATACTACCCCCAAGTACTCCTCTCTCTCTCTCTGACTCTCTCTCTCTCTCTCTCCCTCTCTCCCTCTCTAGCTGTAACGGACCCCAAAACCCTTGTCTAATTTGCAAGGCCCCTCCATTGGGATTGGATTTAGGAGTGGTTTGTTTGTAAGGCTCTCTTTAAGATTTGAACCCCAAGGCCCTCCTGGCAGTCTAACCCCGTGCCGTCGAACTAATGATCCAGGAAGCAGGGTTTGATGTTTCGGGCTGACGGTCTAGCTCTGAAAATAATCAGCCTTGAAGCCCTTACAAGAAAACATAGGAGCACCTTTTTTCTTCAGGGTCCTAAAAATGAGGAGAAGAGTAGGAGGTGTAAACGTGTGAGTATAAACCCTCCCCAGCTAAAAGCCTGAACTCGAATCCGAATCTTCAGGAAGAGCACCGACTGGACTGAAATCGCTCGGTTCTTTCATTTTTAGCACGTGCGCCCCCGCAATAAAGTGTCGAGCTCCGCCATCTAAATCCGTCAGAGGCATAAGTCATAATTTATTAATTTATTAACTTGATATTTTTTCTTGAAGAATTCTGATAAGAATAAATATTTTATTATATTATACTTTGAAGATAATATTTCCTACCCTTTCAGGGTCCATCGTCTTAGCATCTAAGCAACCCTAAACCCTAAACCCTGCATCGGACCTTACGAACTGCTGAGCTAAGTGTTGCTATGAGGATGGCGCGCGATGCTCCATCCGCATGCATCACGAACGCCTCTGGCCATTGCCCCGGTCAGGATATTCCTCTAGACTCGAGGTTTAGAGGTTTAGGGATTTTAGGGTTTAGGGTTTAGAGGTTGTTTAGAGTCAAGATCGTATAGTTTCTGCGCTTGTTTCGTTTCGAGTTCATGTCATTAGTTGAAGCAAGGCAGGCAGGGTTGCCGACGAATTTCTTTGGAGGTATGTTCGGAAGGTTTGGGCGACGGCAGGAGCTGTTACAATACTGGGGTCTGCGAAAATCAGCCTGCAGTGGTGGTTTGGTCTCTAGGGTTGAGGGTTCAGGGTGTAGGGAACAAGGAGCAAACCATTAATGAGTCATCGTATACTGTTCCGCCAAGTGCTTCGAACCTGAACCTTGAACAGGCCGTCGCGTCTCCGGGTAATCTGATTCGGGGCGGAAGTGCTACCGGAGATTTACGGAGCTAGTCAAGCCCTCCGATATGGGGAGCAATCCCTGCAATAGAAGCTGAGAGTCGACCTAAACAGATGTTGACCCCAAAATCATCGAGGGACCCTGAGTTGTAAGAACAGCAAAAATGATGGCGGTTTTAGGGTTTAGGGTCTAGCCTCACAAAGCACATGGGCTTCAACCCGGGAAGATGAGACACGACGGGATGGGAAGTACGACTCTACAGCAGCGGGTGGTGCTTCGAGGGTTACCACTTTGTCGATGACCGGGATGATGTCCATGAGGCCGATGATGAGGATGAATCGTGAGCTTGAGGCTGAGGGTGAAGATGGTCAGCATCAAGATTCGTACGACTATGATGTTTGTGGTGAAGGTGACTGCGAGGCTTTCTTGGCGATATATATATATATATATATGATGACGGAAATTGTTCTGGACATGGTCGTAGTGACGGCAGTCAGCCGCAATCAGAAAGCCGCCTATTGCCAGCGCCGTCTACTTAGTATTGCAAGCACGCAAGCAGCCGAAGTTTGTAGCGATTCAAACCCTAAACCCTAAACCCTAAACCCTAAACCCTAAACCCTAAACCCTAAACCCCGAATCCTAAGCCCTACACCCTAAATCTCAAACCCCAGCTCCCGAACTCCAAGTCCCCAACCGCCGCCCCTTTGCCAGGTACTCGCCAGGGGCTGGGAGCCCGGCTGTTAGCAAAAAAGCATAGTGCTGGTAAAGGGGCCTGAATAGTTAGAATAGGGTTTCGGGGCCCATTATACCATAATCACACTAAGGACCCCCCCCCCCCCCAAA